AAAAAAAAAATTACATTCATCATCTGACAACTGGCCTCCCCCTAAAAACCAGGAACATCTAAGACAGAAGAATTTAGGATTTTAGATAAGTAAGGGCATCGAAGGAAAGAATTTTTATTGGTGTAGAGACATAATGGTTTTCATATTAAGAGAATATTATTTACTTTGTTGGTATTACCACTCTGTCATTTGTAAGCATCATCTTTCCATGAGAGCAAATGCCCACTGGCAATCAGTGAACCGATCTGGTAAAGCTAATGCTTGCAGAATTTTCCTTGTCCACTCTATACAGAGAAAATCAAAGTAAACCTGGGTAAGAGATTTCTGATTTACAGCCTATATCCCCATTTTGTGTTTCCTTTCTCAATGCAACCCACTCACATAAGTTAAAAAAAAAGAACAAATGATTTTCCAGTGATTGCCTTTATCCACCCTTCCACAATCCTGCTAGGATCAATAGTTCGTTTCTGCAAAGCGCTTTGCTTCTTCAATTTGTAAAACCACAAGCTCATTTTATTACCACTCTAAATGGCGAGGTTTGCTAACAAATGACACCAAAAATTTCCATTGAAATAATAGCCCTTTCAAGTAACTCTTCTAAAGACTGGAGAATGAAAACAAAACAAAGAGGCCAGCATTCAGAAAACATTCAAAAAGACTGGATCTCTTAATGAAGGGGTGTCCAGAATCAAGCATGACTCCTGACAACTGATTGGGTTTCAGGCATTTTTCCTGGATCTCTTCACAAAATAAACTAAAATAAAAAGATTTATTCCGCTGAAAATCTCCAAGTAAATGCACAGCCCCTGTTTGTGCTATCAGTTCACTGAATTATAGCATTTCATTACCAAGAATTAAGAGACGTTCTAACTGAAATGATTTGTCTTTAAGGGTGAGCTCTAAAGCTTAAATAAAGGTTTTAAGAAAACAAATGCAAAAAGTTGTTTAACACTCAGAAATTATCCTTTAGATCCAAGTGGGGCTCTTGCACACTGAACACTCTCTGGAAAGACACAGGGTCTGGGACCTTATTTCAGCTCAACTGATGATCACCAGTTAAAAATGTTGTTTTTTTTCTTGAACTCCAATGGATAATAATTTCTGGTTTCAAATGAACTTTTTCTAAATAAGGATTAGAAATTAATTGACAGAGATAGACTTGCTCCTTCGTACATTTAGAGCTTGAAAATGAGTCACTCTGCTTTGACATAACGACCAACTCCGTTGTTACAAGTAAAGTAAACACGGGGAGGGTGACTCCATGCCAAGCTGGCACGCGCATCTAGGTGAGGACCCCAAAAGACAGGGAAGTCTTTGCCTTAGAATTCTCATGCTCTCCTTTATTACAGAATATCTGATGTTTTTAGGTGCCCATTGAAGACCTGGAGAAATTAAAGCGACTAAACAATTAAGGTGGCTAATAAAGCCATGTGGCCCAAGAATGTAGCTGTGGATAGAAAAATTCAGCCTCAGAATTTGGGGCGGGAGAAAAGACCAAAGGGTGGGAGTTGATACTTGCATTGTAAGCAAGCACTCCTTTATTTGGGTGGGTTACCAAATGACCAAAGTTAACCAAGTGTGTGTGCACTCATGCAGGTGTTAACTACTCAGTGTGACTTACTGGTCAGCCAGAGAGAAAGCCTGACCAGCACACTTCTGTTTTTTAAAGGCCTGTATCTACAGAACTGTGTTTTTCTGGGTCCCAAGCTCTTTCGTGGAGCGTGCGCTAGGGATTACTGCTGTCATGTTGTGTTTGATGGATAAGAACTTGGATTATTCTCCTTTTTACTCACCTACTGATACATTCCAATATGTTCCTCCCACCCCTTTCCTAATTCTTTATTTTGCATGTGAACGGTGAACTAATTCAGCATATCATCTTTGCTTTCAAAAGAAAAGTGCTGACATACTGAGTCACCTAGGGCAGTGTCAAAGCAACACTGTGCTGACCTAAAATATAAAATAAACTGCAGGGTATTAGCACAGTTAATAGATTTTCTTTTGCTTGATTATTAGCGGTTCTGGCACCGGCAAAAGACACCCAATGGAATCCTCAGGGTCAGCGTTTTTCAAGCTTTTGACTATGATGAGATAAATTTTTACAGCTTAACGCTCAATAAATACTTAACGCTCTATAAAATATAGTTAAAACATATACAAAAATATATTCCCTTTCAAAAGTTTCATGAAACAATACCTGCTTTCCATACTCTTTTCTAAATTTCAGTTGTGATTTTTTGGAAAATATTGGTTCTAGCGCACTGTATTGATTTTATGATGTACTACAAGAGTTGTGAGTTCAGTCTGAAAACAGTACTGTAATTTATAATGGAGAACTGCAAGAAACACTACTGAAATAATTCTCCTAAAGGGTTACATTTGAAGCTTCTTTTAGGGCTTTCAAAAACAAATGGAGAAAAATTAAAAACACAACCCAAACCTGACTTGATTTGGAGCCTTGCCAGGCACCCAACTTCAAAGCAGACAAGGATGTTCTCTAGATAGAATTTAATGCTAGAAAGTCATAGGAGGCCTTTGCTTCTACAATGAAGGAAAGAATCAAGTGGAAGTCAATGGAGAGGATGAGGGCAAAGCAGGGTCTGTCCCTCAACAGAGATCCAGCTATCGTAGTGTCACTGTGCCACCATCCCGCTTAGCTTGAGGGACAAGAAGAAGCCACAGAGGCCCTACCTGCTGTGTGAACTCATCTCTGGGCCATTACCCATGAATTGGAGGATGGGATATATGGTCTTTGGGGTTTTCACTATTTTATGTGATCGAGGTCAGAAAATACGCTTTCAGATCTAAGGACGAGTCACCAAAGAGAAAGCAAACTAGGTCTAGAGATTGCAGAGAGCAGATAAAAGGATCAGGTAGCAGAACACAAGTCTAGCAGACAGAGTTCAAAGTCAAAGAATGGAATGACAAGTCATACCTTTTTAGATTTATTTTGGAGGGTATATCCTCTGTACCAACCTGTTAGGAAATAAGAGAAAACAGAGTATTATGTTATCTGGGAAAAATAAAGCTATTAACAGCATATATCCTCGTATTCTGCTAGAATATTGGGAAGGAGTCCAAGGGACAATTAGAAGACAATACATGCAAACAGGAGCATTTTGGGTCATCACACAATAATAATCCACATCTATTTTAGGCCTTTTTTTCCCCTTAATAGTTAGAGAATTAAAATTCACCTGGAAATAGGCCTCATCTCTACTCTACTGCAACAAGGATAGAGCAGCAAGGATAAAGGAGAGGGAGAGAGATGTTTTAAATGACCGTGGTCACAGTATCAGGTGCCTTGAGAACGTCCATGTACGCATGGAAGTCCAAGCGCATTCATACAGCGACGTTTATTGAAGGACTTTATTAAGCTGTTTTAGAGGCTGGGTTGCTCCCTCATTTTCTCCCTCTCACTCCCTGACCTCTCCTCCCAGTTTGCCAACTGAAGATCCACTTTTCAGGAACAATATTTTTATACAATTCTTAGCACTGTTATAAGCAACTCCCCCAACACGAAAACTATACTTCTGTGTTCAATTAATGAGGCTATAAATAAAGTTTTCAAGTTCTTTCCTTTTTTTTTTTTTTGAAGATTTATTTATTTGTGCATACAGAACTGGGGTATAGGCCAGAGGTGCAGGGGCGGTGAGAGGATTCACCACAGACAGAACGGGGAGCAGAAAAGGCAGATCTACGAAGTACACTGCTGAGGGGAGCAGCAGGCGGGTCTGCAGAGGTCTGCCGCGCCATGTGGTCACCTCCGGGGCAGGCAGGAATCGAACTCATGCGGAAGTGGCTTTAGCTTCTCAGTGCAGTGCTTTAACCCGCTGCGCCACCAGAGAGGGCCCCAAGTGCTTTCTTAAAATACCATTACATACTCCTATGTCTTTGGATGCTGCCCCACCATCTGTCTTATAGAGCTTACAGTTAACTCTGCCCATAGTAGATATTTCATATTAAATATTTATTGAAAACCTATTATGGGTAATTCAATGTAATAATTTCCCCTGTTCCCCATACTCATCAGGCATCAGTGTGGTTATCCTACCTAAGTAAACCCTGATGGAATCATACAAAGTGTAAGTGGCCACATACACACAAGGAGCAGATACGAGCTGTAATGCAAACTTCACGCATCTGCCGATAGGAATCCAGAATGCACTTGTAATTTGTTCCATCAGAAAACAGAAACAATCTATCTGGACATGTTACATGTAAAAAGTTGAATTTACCTTCTTTAGGTATAGGTTTAATATTTTCATGAATCTTAAATTGTCAGCATTCAAAAATTTAGAGGATTTTTAACATTTTTTTACTGGGAGAATGAATTCTAGGAGTTACAGAAATGTTCTAGGTTTGCATCAAGTCTTCCCTTCCCCCCCCCCCCCAAAGATACATGAACAGAAAACTCTGGTTCCAAATATTCCCAGATTAGTGCCAAGGGGCACAGAAGGCCAGTTTTGAGAATGCTACAACACCAAGATGGAACACTGCAGACTCTGCTCCACTTTCAGAGAGGAATATATCTCTTCAGTAAGCAGTATTTTTTACAGCCATTCATAACAGAATTATGCTTACTAAACCTGTCATTTTTGAAAAAAGAAAACTTACCTCCTAAAAGCCCTCTCTAAAACCATAGTATGTGTTTAACCCCTATCTAAAAGCACAAAATTATCATGCTTATTTGTAAAAATGTGTATGCTCCTTGGTGGCAGACAAGAGCAGAACATTATTTCTGGGACTTTAATCACATACAGCCAGGAGGACTCCATAAGTTTGTCAATAATTGCAAGGCATATGGTAATAGGTCAAGAGTATGTCTGCTTATTTCTACATTACAAGTCTAGATATGAGCAAGAATAGAGTTTTCTAATTAATTTCAGTAGTTAGAGAGAGAAAATGACAGTTAAATATGGTGTGCTTCTGGGTGCAGCAAGAGAGAGCAAGGTGTGTCAACAAGCAGCTATAAGCAATGAGAGTAAGCTGGTTAAAATATCAGGTGCTTTATTTAGTTCGTTATTACAATGAATTAAAAAGTGGGATAGAGAGTTCATTTTCTCTTACCTACATTTAGGTGAAATGGCAGTTTAAAAAAGAAAGTTTATAACAACCCAGATGAGTATCAAAAGTGATACTATGCTAACAATTGTTCCTCTTCCCAGACTCTAGTCATTACTGTTTTTCTGGGACTATGGAACCTATATACCTGTCTTCTCTGATGTGAACTGTTCTGAAATCCACTGTGAGAGCTGCGTATTATACATGGTCTCTCAAAATATTAAAATAGATCTACCATATGACCCAGAAAATCCACTGTTAGATAACTGCCTGAAGAATCCAAAATCTCTAGCTCAAAGGGATGTATTGTCCCCTAAGTTCATCACAGCATCACAGCACTATTTACAATAACCAGGTTATGGAGGCAACTGAATGCCCAGTAACAAATAAGCAGACAAAATATCACGCATCTATGTACACCACATCTTGTTTATGTATCTATACACATACACACACAGGAACATAAATTTGCAAAAAGATGAACTCTTGCTATTTGCAACAACACAGATGGAACTGGAGGGGATTATGCTAAGTGAAATACATCCAAAGTAGAAAGATAAACACCAGATGATTTCACTCATATGTGGAGTATACATAGGGGGAAAAAACCCCAACAACAAAAAAGGAACTGGCAAAACTAAAGCAAAGCAAACCCTAGAAATATAACTGGAAAATTAAGTCTGTTAGGGTAAAAGACTGTGTTCTTTGATGGGAGGGGGTGTGTGGGAACATATATCTGCAGAGAGGCGCTATTCCCCTAAATCATGCTGTAAACCAATGGCTGTAAACCAATGTTGCCTCAATAACGAAAAAACAATGGTCAAACTGCATATCTAAGATGAATCATTTTGGTATATGTAAATTTTTAAAACTATAAAAATTTATACTATCAAAGGAACATTAAAAAGTAAATGCCGGCCCTCCCTGGTGGTGCAGCGGGTTAAAGCATAGCACTGAGAATCTAAAGCCGCTTCCGCATGAGTTCGATTCCCGCCTGCCCCGGAGGTAACCACATGGCGTAGCAGACCTCTCCTGACCCGCCCGCTGCTCCCCTCAGCAGTGTACTTCGTCGATCTGCCTGTTCTGCTCCCCACTCTGTCTCTGGTGAAGCCTCTCACCGCCCCTGAGCCTCTGGCCTGTACCCCAGTTCTGTATGAACAAATAAATAAATCTTAAAAAAAAAAAAAAAAAGTAAATGCCAGGCCCTCCCCAGTGGCGCAGCGGGTTAAAGCACTGCACTAAGAAGCTAAAGCCACTTATGCATGAGTTCGATCCCTACCTGCCCCAGAGGTGACCACATGGCGCGGCAGACCTCTCCTGACCCGCCCGCTGCTCCCCTCAGCAGTGTACTTCATCAGGCGGTCTGTTCCGCTCCCCCTCTGTCTCTGTTGAAGTCTCTCACCACCCCTGCACCTCTGGCCTATACCCCAGTTCTGTATGCATAAATAAATAAATCTTAAAAAAAAAAAAGTAAATGCCTTCAAATAACACAAAATTCAATGATAATGGCCTTGCTCAAATATACTCAATATTTTTGCTTGACCCAACCTCTGAAACCAAAGAGAGTCACGTGTGAGAAATCATAGAAGCATTTCTCCATTGCTTTTTGTGGCTCCCTGAAAACATTATTCATTATTCATCTTAATTAGGAGTTTGGTTCCTTCCAAAAGTTCGATCACAGATTGAAGATTTGTTCGTTCACTCAATAAAGAGATGCTGGGAGAGCAGGACATACATCTCCATCCTTCTGGATCTTATTTTGTAAGACAAAGAGTCGAAGGGATACACATGAGCACACAAGCAAAGTCATCTCCAGCAGGACTAAGTTACTCCAAAGGGTGTTGTGAGAGAGCCTGGGGGAGGAGCTCCTTTACAAGGAGTAAAATACACATACATAAATAAATTTTAAGATAAAAGAAAAACCATGGTTAGAAGTCTCTCTGAAGAGCAGCAAGAGAGCTCAGGATTTACATCGCTGATGCGGTCATTCATTATACATGAAAACACTTATTGAATACCAGTGTGCCAGACACTATCTTCAAGGAAGAAGGAAACAGATCTGTAAACAAATAATTAAATACAAAAAGGCCTTTAATGGTAGAGCTTGGAGACGCTGGCACACACAGGGAGGGTTATGAATATGCTGAAGACTTGAAAGGCTATTACTGAGAGGGTCTCTGAAGAGTTTCTGGGCCACGAAAGCATCATTCAGATGTGTAAGCCACGGAGTGTTTTGTAAAATCTCTCCTGATTTCCAACCCCAAGATAATTTCTCTCCTTCCAGATTAGTTAATTATTTTTGAGTTGTAGTATATACATATAAAATTTACCATTTTAAAGGCATTTAGGACATGCACACTGTGCCCTGAGAAATAAATTATCTTTCACCTCCCAGGAATTACAGGCAAGAGTCATGCACCCACTTTGTGTGTGGATGGGGAGCAAGCTGGGAGGGGTTCACAGAAGAGCAAGTGTGAAATCCTGTTGTTTTTGTTTTAGGGTCACTGGACTGGTAGATCACGGGGTAAAGCACAGTTAATTAGGCCAAAGTCAAAGGTTCCATCCCCTGTGGGCCAGGTAAACCAGTTGGTTTCCATAGGTGTAGCTTGTTCTCCATTCCTCAAAGAGATGAGCGTCCCTCAAAGAGATGCCGGAGGTTCCTCAAGCTGGTGAGCAGAAAGAGACCACGCAAACTCCTCAGTGCAGCGAGAGGAATGGCTTAGTGGCTGGATCTTTGTGAGCAAAACATAGGTCCTACCCCCTGGGGTCTCAGGAGCTCACTTTCCAAATGCAGTGACCAGGTCCCTGGGGACTTAATACATTCAAAGGCAGAAGATAAAAGAATACAAAGAGAGTTAAAGAGAAGTGTATGCTTTTGTGCCTTTTTGTGAAATAATCCCTCTTCCATGTTG